CAGGGTATGGGCAGAGATCCTCAGTGGCCCCTAAGAAAAACCCAGCCCTTGCCTAGAGGGTCGTGGCACAGGCTCTATAGGTTCAATTCTACCCTGCAAGTTCTTCCCAAGCCCTTTACTTGGGACACAGCCCATGCTTTTCATCAGCTTTTGACTTTGAACAGAATAGTCTTGTCAATTTGAAGTCCAATTGCCGTAGCAATCTCTACCCAAAGATTCACAGGCAGAGTAGGACATAAGGTTGAAAACTACACCCTTCTACCCTCCTTATCCTTCCATTTCAGGTCTGGGCGCTGATCACTGGAGAGGATGCATATCCCAATCCCTGCAGAGTCTGAGCTGAGGGGCCAAGGCCACGTTTTTGGCCACCAGCGTTCAGAAATTATACTAGTGTCAGCTCCTGTATCTAGGAGGCCTGTAAATGTCTTTCCTTGTATGGTTAAGTCCATAGTAGGACGTTCATCTAAATTCAATGACAAATATGCACAGTTTCCTCCAGAGGAGCCAAAACCTTTTTCTCCTCTGATTTTTTGGTTACTAGAATATAGAATGGAGGCTAGGTAAAATTAGCAAACTGTGCTATCCGGTCTCCTGATATATGGAAAACTATGCCTCTAGTGGAAGAGCAAAGAATTTTACTTGCCCTTCACAAATCTGAATCAATAACTCCTGGGTGAATTATTAATCCCTGCAGAGTGTATGAAGACCTGCCAAGACGAGTGCCTACAGTATTATCAGGGTAACGGCCCCTTAAATCAGATGGGACCGGTTGGCACCCATGAGGGGTTAATACTGTTCTGGTGGTGGCACAGAGTCCAGTCTGCGGAACCTTTAGTGGCTCTCCTTGGCTCCCGGAGGCGCTAGGAGCGACCTCTCCTGGGTATCCCCTGCATGCATATATTTGCGGGCCCTGGGGTCGGGGGGCCCCGCCATCCGTTTTTTTGCTTAGGTACAGGTTTTCCATTTTGATCCCGAACTATGGGATTTCCATCCTTATCCTTCATCGAGCGACATTCAGAAGCCCAATGTCGCCCCTTGCCACAGGTAGGGCAGATGCCTGGCTGTTTGTTAGAGGAGCTCCCTTGCTTAGGAGGTGCTCTACATTGGGCCTTTTAAGGTGCCCAAGTTTGCCACCAATTGTAGCAATTGGGTTCTGCCTTTGCTTGGAGTTCGGCCGCCAGGCCACTATTGGTCAGGGGGCCCCCTATCTCTCTGCATGCTTTTAGCCAGGCATTAAGGCCTTTGTTCTTCCAAGGGGCAATTGCATTACGGCATGGCATTCCGTAGTGCACTGCTCAAAGGCAAGCTGCTCAATGAGCAGCATGGCTGTATCTAGATCCCCAAATACCTTTCCTGCTGCCTCTACTAGCCTAGCTACAAAGTCTGAGAATGGTTCAGCAGGGGCCTGGACGATTTTTGTCAAGTTACCCTTGACCTCCCCACGATTGGGCAAGCTCTTCCACGCCTTGATGGCTATGGAGTTGATCTGGGCATATACCTCCTCTGGGTAGGCGACCTGATTGTTGACCCACTGCCCCTGCCCTGTGAGCATGTCAAAATTCCATGCTGGTTGCCCGCGCTGGGCGTTTCTCCGGGATTGCTCCATGCACTCTTCCTGGTTAATGGACTTCCAATCTAAATACTGACCTGTAGTCAGTACTGCCTTGACGAGCTGACTCCAATCTCTGGGCGTCATTGCTGTATTGCCCAGTCTCTCTACCAAAGATAAGGTGTAGGAGGCCCCATGTCCCAGTTTCGGACAGCCTCCGCCAGCTCTTTCAATTGCTTGGCGTTCACTGGCTCCCAGCCCCTTTGATTATTATTCTCAAAGACAGGAAAGGTAAGGAACAGCTCTTTTCGCTCTTCAGGGTGGATGAATGAGTCCACTGCCGTGCGCCTCTCTGCCTGGGGCGAGCGCCTAGTTCCTCATAAGGCGGGGCATACGGAGGCGGGCGGTACCGCCCATTCCTGTCTACTTCCTGAAAGCCTTGGGCCCTCTCCGCACTCTGACTCAAGAGTCAGCAGTGTCCGACAAGTGAAGATTGTCAAAATCTGGTAAGGGGTCACAATTAGGCAGATCGGGTTGCGCTTTCCCTCCCTGCATTTCCTTTTCTAGAGCTCTACATTTTCTTATTCCCGCGGTCCCTCCCCTACTGCTTCTCTCCGAACTTGCGTCTTGCAAGTCATCTAAGGCTTTTTGGCTAGCCGCTACGCGCGGGCCTGAGATTTCATCATGCAGGCACTCCATAATTAGGTTGTGAACAAGGAGGGTGCCTGGCCTCAGAGTCCCCGCACTACGAAGGTCCCGTCCTAACTTCCCCCAAGAGGGAATAGTCAAAGAACCCGAGTGGAGGAACCAAGGAGCTACAGGGTCCACCTCCTTCAAAAATTTTATGAGGGTCTTTTCCTCGCAGTGCACTCCTTGTGATGATAAAAGATCTCTTATAGGCCACATAAAGCGCCGCAGCGGAATATTACCCATTATGGAAGCGGGGGGTTTTGGCCGTCCCACACGTCAGTTCTGAACTCACCTCTGTCGAGGTCGTCTCCGCTGGTGCCTCAAAGTTGTTTCGGTGTCCGGGTTCCGGCACCACTTGTCCGCCGCGCCTCGCCAGCAAGGAAGAACGCGGCAACTGGAGTTCTTCTGACAGTGTTTAATGGGGTTCCTTTAGACTTACATGATGCGGAAGACCCTGAAGCACAGCTCTCACACACTTATATACTCAGGAAGGAGGAAGCA